GATGTCTATGGCGCCACCTGCTTGGATAGTTCACCCTGTGGTCCTCGTAGCCCTGGTGGTGGCTTTCGTAGCTGCTCGTCGCCCTCTTAGCTCTCCTGGCGTTTTCCTGTGAATGAAATGACGGGGGACGTTGTCCTCCGTGCCGTCGGTCCAGCAGACTTGCGCGGGGAAATGATTACCCGCCGCCCACCGCGGACGTGGGTGATTGGTTACTGCCGCGGCAATGCGGTTATGTCGACATTGCGGCCGACGCCTGGCAATGCGAGACCGCTGCGCCCCATAGGCAATGGTTTGAAGAAGTCGTTACAATCAACTGGTCGGCAACGAACCCCTCAAGACTCGTCAGCCTGGATCCCTGACCTATGCCGCGAACCCTAATAACACATACTCCGAGAGCACTGGCCACCTCAAACAGGAGAGGACCAGCCCGCGCAGCAACCCTCCATGGGGAAAACCGATGAAATACTGACCTACCAAATTTTCAGAATTAGCCTCACAACGAATCACCCCAAAACGGTGTGGGGATCATTTACTCGGGCCCGAGGGAGCGGAACATTTTAACCCCAAACCTGAACACCCCTGGTGCCCTTGGACCTGTGAGCGGCCATGCGTCGAGACACGTCGCGCCGCGTCACCCGCCCAAGAAACGTCGAACGTTGCAAAGCCACCGGAAAACAAGGTGTACATATTTATCCCCAAACTCGTCCCGCGTTTCCCACAATCCCAAAGTTCGCGCCATTTCGCAACCGCGTCTGCTTCTCTTGCCCAGCAGAACGACGATACCAATCCCAAACAATCAACCAATGAGTTTGGCGAGATGCTCGTTTCCCCAGCGAGGCATGCCAACGTTTCTACTAAGGGCGCACACGTGCCTCGAAACAAACTACGCACGACCCGCTCGGTTTTTCCCTGGACGGGGGTCGGGATAAGCATTTCGTCGTGGACTTTCAGTTCCTGGACGCTGAGTTCCAGCACCGTGCGCTCGTAGTACTCTTTTCCGTACTTGCCGTCCACCGTGTCTCAGACAGCGAACGACTTTTTGGGAGTCCAGGTCTTCCGTGGGCCTTCCTGTTCGTCTTGTGGCCCTCGTAATACAGCGGCTGGCCCTGGTAGCTCAGCTTGTGGTCCTTGTGGCCTTTTTTGTGGCTCCCGTGGCTGACGCGTGGGGGTCGCAGCTCAGCTGATGGCCCTGGTAGCTATGCTGCCGGCTCTCGTGGGACAGCAGATGGCCCTGGCAGCACTTCGGATGGATCTCGTAGCTCTGCTCGCGGGCTTCGTAGCGCAGCTCGTAGCTCAGCTGGTAGCCGATTCAATTCAGCTCGCTGCCCTGATAGCTCTGCAAGAGGCTCTCGTAGCTCTGCTTGCTGTCCGTGTGGTTCAGGCGGTGGCCCTCGTAGCTGAGCAGGTGGCTCGCCTAGCTGGACTAGCGGTTCTCGAAGCTCTGCTCATGGCCCTCGCAGTTTATTTTGTCGCTCTGGTATCTCCGCGGGGGCTTTGATCGTTATTCGTGTGGCCCGCGTAGCTGAAATGGTGGCACTCGTAGCTCAGCAAGTAGCCCTTGTAGCTGGGCTGGTGGCTCTCGGTGGTCGGCACGTGGCCCTTGCAATATAGCTCGTCGCCTTGGTAGCTCTGCTGGAGACTGTAGTGGCTGTACCTGTGGTCCTCGTGGCTCGGCTCGTGATCCTCGTGCTCAGCTTGTGGCTCCCGTAGCTCTGCCGTGGCTCTCGTAGCTCAGCTGGTGGGCCTGGCCGTTCTTCTTGTGGCTCTCGTAGCTGCGCCTGTGGTCCTCGTAGCTCAGCTTGTGGTCATCGGAGGTACTGCGGTGGCCCTGGTAGCTCTGCAGGTGGCTGTAGTAGTAGTAGTGCTTGTTGCCCTCGAAGAGCAGGTTGCGGCCGTCGTAGTTTTGCAGGTGGTCCTTTCCCATAGGAGGGGTCGTCGTAGCCATTTGACTTCCTTTTGACCTTGTCGCCAACACAGAACTGCCGCTGGCTCAAACTGCTCCCCAGGCCCCCGGACTACCAATTCAACGGCTTCCGCCGTCAGTGCCTTCTCGCCGCGACGGCTGGCTCCAAAGCCACGGCTGCGAGACACGGGGGCATTCAACGGCCAGTAGCTGTCCGCCGAACGTGGCCGAAACTCGAGCCACCGATTCGGAGGAGAGGAGGAGGAGGAGCAGCAGCAGGAGGAAGAGGCCGAAGAGGATGGCGGAAGGGGCTGCCAAGAACAACTTCTGCAATCCAGGCACTTTGGCGGCCGGCTGCGCGAGTTCGCCGTGCCCTCCCGGGGCGCTACGGTCACCTGCGGGCAGGAGGAAGACGAAAAACACGGCGAGCGGACGCCCACATGCAGGAGGAGAGGGGGGAGGCCAAGACAGCAGCAGGCAAGTGCGCACGTTGGGGGCGGGCGGGGGGCGGGAGGGGGCAAGGAGCGTCGGCGGCAATCCAGGGGTCGTCGGGGGTCATCGTGGGTGGGGGGGGGTCGGCGGGGTCGTCGGGGGATTGGGGGGTCAGAGGGCCGTGGGCCCGCCGGGCGTCAGGCGTGGCGGGCGGGGTCGTCGGCGGGGGCGGGGGAGCGGACGGGCCGGGAGCGGATGGTGGGGGCTGCCGTAGCTCCGCCGGTGGCCCTCGTGGTGCAGCCGGTGGTCCTCGTTGCCCTGCTTGTGGCCCTCGTGGCTGGGCTTACCTCGTGGCTCGGCTGGTGGTCCTCGTGGCCCTGGTTGTGGCCCTCGTACTTGAGCTTGCGGTCGTCAAAGTTCTGGAGGCGGCCCTCACAAGTGTGCCTGTGGTCCTCGTAGCTGGCGGTGTTCCAGCGAGCTCTGCTGGTGGCTCTGGTAGTTCTGCTTTTGGCCCTGGGAGCTGAGGTTGTGACCCTCGTAGCTTTACAAGTGTGCCTCGTGGCTCTGACGGTGACCCTCGAAGCTCTGATCGTGACCTTGGTAGCTGAACAGGTGGCAACTGTAGATCGGCCAGTGGTCCTCGTAGCCCTGCTTGTGGTTGTCATAGCTCAGCTGATGGTCTCGTAGTTTTGCCGTTGGCTCTCGAAGCTCTTGCTGCCCTCGTAGTTCGGTTTATTGTTCTCGAAGTTATACTGGAGCTTCTCGTAGTTTTGATGGTCGTCGGAGCTCCGCTGGTCCTCGCTGCGGAGTTTGGATGCCCTCCTCGCGTGCTCCCACACCTTGCCCAGTAATTTCTCGAGGGGTACGTCCACGTCGGAGGTCAGAATCGGCTGCCAAGTCGCGGTTGGTATTCCACGTTCTGGGTGCCAGCGCCATGCAAGAGGTCGTGCTGGTCACGCGCATGTAGCTCGGTAGGTGGCACTGGTGCCACAGCTGGTGGTTTTCGACGCTCGGCTGGAGCTCTGCCGGTGCCCCTGGGAGCGCAGCTGGTGGTTCTGGAAACGCTGTTGGCGGTTCTCGTAGCCCAGTGGGTGGTTCTGGGAGCTCTGGTTCTTGCCCTTGTAGCTCTGCTGGTGGCCCACGTCGCGTAGCAAGTTGCTCTGGTAGCTGTCCGCTTGTGGATATGATTGTAGCTCTGGTAGCAGGGTAGCTCTGGTAGCTCTCCAGTACCTCTGATTGTAGCCCTCGTAGCTCTGGTGGCAAGGTGAAGGAATCGTATGCGGTGCATTCGTCGAGGAAGTTGTGCTCGCCGTGTCCGTTATAGGCGTCGCAGCCGTACTCGTCGTAAACGGCGTGGCCCCAATCCACCGGTGCCTCCACGACAACGCACTTAATAATCCCTTCGGGCTGCTCGGTCGCGTCGTTCCTAACGTCGATCATGGTAGAGTACTTGGTATCGTACTGGCGGTGATGGTTCTCGTCCTTGGGCTGTCTGTTACGCCGCTCATTATCGTGATTGGGCTGCCTTTGCGCAGCTCCTTCTCGTACGAAGGCTGCCTGTTACGCAGTTCGTGCCTGGGCGCCCTCGCGCGGGAGGGCGTAAGTTGTCGGACCGAAGCTGCATCGCACGTCGGACGTTGTACCCCACTCGTTTTGGGGACGCGCCTGTTCGCGCCTGTGTTCCTCTACGCGTGTATGGTCTCGGCATGCTTGCAGGTGGGTCCCCGCCAAAAGTGGACAGGCCTCGTAGCTTTTTGCAGTATCCTGCAGGTGTCCACCCCTGTTGATTTCGAAGCATTGCACGTCGATGCTGATGATGTTGTAGTCGCAGTTGATCACCCTCTCGTTTTTTTTGTTTGTTTCTCCCTCTCCCCGCGCGGCGACCACCCCTGCGCGCCGACTAGGCCGGCGGACCGCGAGGCAGCGGATCACACGAGCATGTACCCGAGCAGCGCCGGACAACGCCTGGCATACAGCAGGCCCTGTACTTCAGAGAGACCGCGAGGCAATCTCCAGCAGAGGCCGTGCTGCTGCCCCCCGCCCCTGCGGCGGTGCTGAACTATGCTTGAACCCACGCCGGAAGGTCTCCTGCTTCAGAATGAGAGAGCACAGAAGTTGATCACCCTCCCCCGCCCTGCGGTGCTGACCTATGCTTGAATCCGCGCCAGAAAGTCTCTTGCTTCAGAATGGGAGAGCACAGAAGTTGATCACCCTCTCGTGGTACGCGCGCCGCGGTCACCGCCGCCCACCTCCTACGGCGCGGCGGCGTGCCGAGGCCAGGCCCCCTCCAGGGGCGCGCGCGCGGCCGGGTGCGGCGCCCAAAGGCGAGTGCGGGGGGATCGAGTTCCCGCGCGCGGCCTTCCTCCTCCTCATCCTCCTTCTCCTCCTCCTTCTTCCTCCTTCCTCCCTCCTCCTCCTCTTCCTCCTCCTCCTCCTCCTCCTCCTGCTCCTCCTCCTCCTCCTCCTCCTTCCCGCCGTCCTCCTCCGCCTCTCCACCTATCTCTTCTCCCGCCTCCCGTCTCCCTTCTCCGCATCCTCTTGCGGAGGGGGAGGAGATCCAAGGCAGACTTCCGCGCACGGAGAGCGATCGTGCCCGGTGCATCCTAACCCCGGAAGCATAGTGTCTCAACCCCGCTGTGCTAGGATTCGTTGCCGCCATCCGCACCTCGCTAGTCGCCATGGTGAGGCTGGGGTTGTGGATGCTGCTCGGGTCCCAGTGCGCCACGCCATCCATTCCGCGGCCTTTGCCGCCAGGTGCACCTGCGGGGGTCAAGACGCTCGGGGCAAAGCCGATGGCGAAAACGCCCCCAACTCGTCCCCCACAGGGAGCACCCAAGCTGGTGTGCACACATCGGAGGCCAGGGGGGTGGGGACCAAGTGAGGCGGAGTCGCCCGACCAGGAGATCCAGAAGCAGCCAGCACCGAACCGATACATAGAAAAAAATTCGGTCGGGACGTGCGTCGGATCGGCCTGCATCGGCACGGACTCGAAATCGAATCGAATCGGTTGCCCCAGGATGTACAACAACGCCATGCAAACATCGAGACGCATCGGATCGTCGGAATGTCGGAATCTCCTCCTCCTCCTCCTCCTCCTCACCCTCCTCCTTCTCCTCCTCCTCCTCCTCTTCCTCCTCCTCCTCCTCCTCTACCTCCTCCTCCTCCTCCTCCTCCTCCTCCTCCTCCTCCTCCTCCTCCTCGGATCGGGCTGGCCAGAATCGATGTCGCAGCGGATCGATCGCATCCTACTGGACCCCGGAGATCGGTGTCGGCTTCGGCTCGCGCGGCGAGTGCAAGGCAGGGCAGCACAGGCTCCTGCACCGACCTGGCCACGGCCACGCCTGAATGCGCTGGGTTGCCGCCCGACGGGGCGTGCCCGCAGCTGTCCCGCGGCTGCCCCGCGGCTGTTCCGCGGTTGTCCCGCGGTCGTCCCGAAGGCTGTCCCGCTGGCTACCCCAGGGACTGTCCCGATGCTTGTCCTACTGGTTGTCCCGATGGTTGTCCCGATGGCTACCCCGATGGTTGATCCGGTGGTTGTCCCGATGGTTGTTCCGACGGTTGTCCCGCCGTGGTTATCCCGCGGTCGTCCCGAAGGTTGCCTCGATGGTTGTCATGTGGTTGCCCCGATGGTTGTCCCGTGGCCGTCATGCGGGCCCCGTGGCTGTCCCGTGGTTGTCCTGTGGCTGTGCCGTAGTTGTCCCGTGATTGCCGATCGACACATGATGAGACCAATGTTTAGCGAGACGAATGTGTTAACAATGAGGTGGGTAGATCGTTTGATCGGAGCATCGGTAGATAACTAGTGGGACCGACGTGCATATTGGGACAGTGATCGGTAACTCATGAAATCAATCGGTTGTGAGGCCGATTGGTAAACGGTGATATCATGATATCGATTGGTATATAGCGAGGTCGCTGGATTGATGTGTCTATTAATATCACTTGGTGTATATATAGCGAATCCGATATGGCGACAATCGCAAACCGACAGCTGCACCCATCCCCCCCCCACCGCAAACCTTTTGATCACCCGAGGGGCGGCCTTTAACTTATAGGTGCACTTGATAGATATACAGGTCTGGTAGACATCACACGCGAGGGCGCGACGAATGACTCACATTCCATGCCAACTAACTAAATGATACCAAGTGGCCGTGGAACCCATTGACCCAACCATGCTCGCGGCAGAAAACAGGGAAAACTTACCCGCGTTACGCGATAAGACGGATGGAGCGCACCTAGCTAAGAACAACGCAAACCTGGCGGGGGAGGAGACCTCCCGGGGCTCGACGCCATGGAGCGCCTGTCCCACCTCTCGGGCACCAACAGCATCTCCCGAGGCGTAGCCTTCCGCTCTCAACACTCTTTCAGTGGTTCTCGCTTCCCCAGCTCTTGGGTCGAACCTCGCGCCACTTCCAGCCCTCGAGGGCCCAAAGGGGCCCATCGAGAGCACACGGGGCCCCTGGACGGCCCAAGACGGCCGCAAGAAGACATCCCCAAGCTACCCCAAGAGAGCTTCGGGAGGAACCCAAGACGGCCCAAGGAAGCCCAGGGAACGCCCAAGGGGGTCCCAAGACGGCCCACGACGGCCCAAGAACCCCAGACGGCCAAAAGCAGCCCCAGGACAGCCCAAGGGGGCCCCGGGACGGCCCAAGAAGGCCCAGAGACGGCCGACGAGGGCCCCAAGGGGTCACCAACACTGCCCCGCAGAAGCTGAAGAGGCCACCACAAGGCGGCCCACACGAGCTCCGTAAGGGCTCCTCCGGGCACGGGGGCGAGGGGCGTGACACGAGACGGCCGTCAGGGCGGTGCTCGAAGGGTCGCCACGCCGCAGGCGCCAAAGATGTGTTCGTGAATGTTTGTACGCGTGCTGGCCGCCGCTGGCCCCACGCAGCGTGTTTCTAGCAAGCATGGTGCAATCCCATGTGGGGCAACGTATGTGGTGCAGTCTACGTGGTGCAGCATGTGCGGTGTGCGATCTGGGTGGTGTAGAAGTGGTGCAGTCTATGTTGCGCAGTTCACGTTGTGCAGAACATGGCGTGCGATCACTATTGTGCACTATATGCGGTGCAATCTATGTCGTGCGGGATAAGTTGTGGGAAATAGATTGCGCAATCTACGTGGTGCCCTATGTGCTGTGCAATCAGTGTCGTGTAATTCGTGGTGCAACTTGTGTGGCGCAGTTGATTGTTTGAAACTTGGAGCTGTTAGCTCCACTGCTCGCGCAATCATCCCACCCACCCACCCGCAACTAACTTTGTCAAACCCGTGCGGCGGCGATTGCGATGAATGCTTGGTGTTGGTTGGTGCGTCTTTGCGGACGCGCTAGCCCGGCTATGCTGGCGCACACAGCGGCCGGCTAGTTTGGCGCGGCCAACGCGACTGCGGTGGCGATGACCGCTGTGCACGTCCCTGCGGACACTTCAGTGCGAGTCGGTGAGTTGGGCGGTCGCTGTATCAGGCGACGTCGACAACGGGAAGCACGATGATGACAGTTGCCATAATGGTGACGATGATGTCGATGACAACGGCAAGGCCAATGACGGCGCCGATTGTAATCACGCCAGTGACGATGACGATGATCTCGCGTCGGTGATGAAGGTTTTGGAAGGAGTTCGACATGCGCGCGCGGTCGACGCGCGCGAGCGGCTCTCATGGTATTATTTGACAGGGATCGTGCCCCCAGCACGCGCGCAAAGGCGTTCGAATGATTTCGACATGCGCGCGCGAGAGGCCCGCTTGGTCGCATTTGATGAACATAAAAAGGGATGGCTTTCACAAGAGTTCGCAGCAGCGCGGGCAGAACTTGTTTGAAACAACATGCTGTAAAACCATGTGTTTAAGTATGTGTTCAGGACGCTCGATTTTGAATTCCCTGCGAAACCAAAGGTTTTTGAAGGATTTCGGCATGCGCGCGCGACGACGCGCGCGTTTACAGTTTGGCCAATGCTTAGCAAGGGGTTCTTGCAAATGGCTGATTTCTGATGAACGAGTTTGCGCGGATAGTATTGCTTTACGGAGGGGGTGACGATATTGGCCTGGCTGGGATAAGATGAATTCATACTTCGAAGGAACAGCGGGGCAGAATCATATGCAAATTGCACATCCCCAGGGGGAACGTATAATCCCGGGGGCGGGGGGTAGATCCGAATTTCCGACGTCGAGAAACTATACGAGGCCGCGACGAGGCAGCGACGCGGCGTCGACGGCGACAATAAAGCCGCCAGACCGAGAACCAGGCCCTGAAGACGGGCGGCGACGAGCCGGCGACGAAGCGGCAACGGCGACAGCATAGCCGCCAGACAGACCGTCAGGCCCAAACGACGGGCGGCGACGAGGTGGCGACTGGGCGGCGACGGCGACAACATAGCCGCCACACCAGCTGTCAGGCCCGGACGACGAGGCGGCGACGGGGCGGCGACGGGGCGGCGACGGGGCGGCGACGGCGACAACATAGACGCCACACGGGCTGCCAGGCCCAGTTCCTTCAGAAACAAGGAAGAGCCCCTCAGAGCAACCACTGCAGGGGATACAGATCTATATCTACAAATATACATTTCAATTTATATGTATCTGTATAAATATACATGCATATATGCATGTTTGTATGCATGCACGCATGTATGTGCGTATGGGCGTATGTAGGTATGCATACATACACGCATGTAGGCATGTCTGTCTGTCTGTCTGTCTGTCTGTCTGTCTGTCTGTCTGTCTGTCTGCCTGTATGTCTGTCTGCCTGTATGTATGTATGTGCTTGTATGTATGTGTGTATGCGTGCATGCATATATGCATGTATGTATGTATGTCTGTCTGTCTGTCTGTCTGTCTGTCTGTCTGTCTGTCTGTATGTATGTATGTATGTATATGTATGTATGTATGTATGGTGTATGTGTGTATGTGTGTATGTGTGTATGTGTGTATGTATGTATGTATGTATGTATGTATGTATGTATGTATGTATGTATGTATGTATGTGTGTATGTATGTATGTATGTATGTATGTATATATGTATGTATGTATGCATGCATGCATGCATGTATGTATGTAGGTCGGTAGGTAGGTAGGTAGGTAGGTAGGTATGTATGTATGCTGTCTGTATGTCTGCCTGCCTGCCTGTCTGTCTGTCTGCCTGCCTGCCAGGATACACGTCTGTACATTATCATATACCACTACCGTGCTTTTCTTTTGTGTGTGTTGTCTCTCTCTCTCTCTCTCCTCCCCTGCACTCCTACAACCACTTTGAGAATTTGCCCTCCTCCCCCTCCACCACCTCCTCTTTGCGTTCATTATTGCGCTTCTCCTCCTCCTCCTCCTCGCAGTCACGGCCCTCGCGCCCCTGCAATTCCCTGGCCCTTCTTACCGCTTGCCCTCCCCAGCGGCCCGCCTTGGAATTTCGTTCTTTTCCGGGACGGCGCCCTGCCCTTGCCGTCGGCGAATCCAGAGAACTGGGCCGACCCGACCTGGGAGGATGACGAGGAGGAGGAGGAGGAGGAGGAGGAGGAGGAGGAGGAGGAGGAGGAGGAGGAGAGGGAGGATGATGATGATCAGGAGGAGGAGGAGGAGCAGGGAAGGTGCTGAGGGTTAAGGGGGGAAGCTGACCGCCAGGGCCGCCGCAGTCAGCACCTGGCTCAGGGCCTTGGCAGCACCCCGATGCCAGGCCGATCCGCTGCCGGATCCCGATCCCCATCCGGAGCCTCCTCCTCCTCCTCCTTCCTCCTCCTCCTCCTCCTCCTCCTCCTCCCTCCTCCCTCCTCCTCCTCCTCCTCCTCCCTCCTCCTCCTCCTCCTCCATCCGTGGAGGAGCAGAAACAATACCAATGACGCGCCGCCGTGGGCACCCATCAGCATGTCACTGCCGAAGGAAAGGCCAGGCCTCCAGACACCACGAAGGAGTCGTACGCTGACGGGTTCCCAGCAGCGGCGTGTTATTGATGCAGTCGGGCCGCTGAAAGAAGGAACGCTAAATAAGGAACGAAGCCCTTCTTGGCCCTGTAAGCGCCTCCGTGCCCCAGGAGGGCAAGAGGAACAGCACTAGGGGAACCACAGGAGCATCGAGCCCCTTCCGAACCCAAACTGTTCCTCACTTCAGCGTCTTGACTGTACCCCTTCTCCCTCCCGAAGATGGTCGGCCCGATCCGCCCCTCAGGCGTCGAGGACACGCCGCTGACCGAGGGTCTGCTACACGCAAGGGTAACCCTCGGCAAGAGTGACCTTCGGGGCGCGGCTTCACGGGGGACGCGGGGTGGCGAAACCCAGGCGCGCGGGCTGCTGCTTGAACTCTTCGCGCTCAGCGACTGGGGGACCCCATCGGGCCCGCACCACAGGCCACTGGGCGAAAGGTCACTCCTACGTCTATAGGAGAGCTCCAAACAAATTCGATACACCACCACCAGCCCTGGCCAGGCCTGTCCTGGGCCCTGGACTGGTGCACAGGCCTTCCTGGCCTAGGCCAGAAGGTCTGCACACTGATCCAGGGCCCAGGACGTGCCTGGCAAGGGCTGGTGGTGGTGGTGCATAGGTGGCGTCTCTCCGATGTCTCGTCGAGAGGGCCCGATCGAGCGCCCTGGCCCCCGTCGGCCGGCGAGTCGGCCAGGATCGGCGGCGCGACCGCGCGCTCGCCGACGAACGCCAGGGCCTTGTAAGCGCACGGCAGGCATCGGCCCAGGCCTGGGCCCGCCCAGTGGCGGACCTCGCGCGGCCCCGGCGCCCCCCTCGGAGGGCCCGGTGCACCGCCAGAGCCACAGCGCCGTCGGCAAGAGGAGAGGGGGCGGGAACGGGGATGATAGTGGGTGTGGCCTGCATCGGCATAGACATACGCTGAGGAGGAGGAGGAGGAGGAGGAGGAGGAGGAGGAGGAGGAAGAGAAGGAGGAGCAGGAAGAGGAGGAGGAGGAGGAGGAGGAGGAGGAGGAGGAGGAGGAGGGGTGGAACAGGACGGTGAAAGAGAGGAGGAGGAGGCGGCGGCGGGCTCGTCCGGATCACGGGTCGGGGTTCGGCCGAGGCAGAAAAACAAAGAGTTGACCAGAGATCCTCGGGTGCGCATTGCTGCGGTGGCTGGGCACGTGGGGGGCTCACGCGCTCCTCGGCTCACAGAGCGGACATATCCCTATGGCCAGAAGCGGCTGAACACCACAAAATTTCGGGGCTACCTTCGAACAACCAGAGGAGGAGGAGGAGGAGGAGGAGGAGGAAGAAGGAGGAGGATACGGAATGGGAATGGGTGTGGCCTGCATCCGCAGCAGGCGGGGCTGGGCGGGCCACCTCAGCCCACGACGTGACCCTCGACGTTGTCGTCGCAGTCGCCCCCGAGGCTCGCCGCTGCACGGGCTGCTGCCCGGCCGAGGAGGAGGGGCGGGGCGCGATGTCTGGAGGACGGGGAGGACGCGGAGGAGAAGTCGTCGCCTCAACAGAGGCCCGAGAAGAGGAATTCGAAGATGCTCGTGGACTCCCCCCCCCCACGTGGCCGCCGAACCTCCAGATGCCCCCCAAGAGCTCCCAGGAGGCCGCGAAACGCTCCCACAAAAGAGCACAAAAAACAAAGAGGCCTCGAAGACGCCCCTGACCCACAAACCAAGCGCAGTGTGGCAGGGTGGGCCGGCGGCCACTGCGTTCACACACGTGTGCAACGATACGTCCCTTGTATATGCACAAGCATACATACATACGAGGGAGCGCGACCCGGCGTCGCTGGCCCGAAACATGTCTACACGGGGGGGTCAGACACCAGGGCGCCCCCTTGCCCCCCGAACCCCCCCCCCCCCACCCCAAAGAGCCGGGAAGTCTTGTGACCCTCCCCCCCGCCCCCCCCCCTCAGGAAAATTAGTCGGAGCCGCCCCCCCCCCGACAACAAAAAATATCCGAGGGATCTGAAACCCCCACCTTCACCTCCCCCCTAGGCAACGACGACGACGACGACGACGACGACGACGACGACGACGGCCGACGACCGCAACGCCGACGCCGACGCCGATAACGACAACGAGAACGCCGACGAAGACGACAAAAACGGTTGACGACGAGCGAAGACGACGAAAACGACGACAACGACGACGACGACGACGACGACGACGACGACATCGCCGACGACGGCGACAACGTCAGCGGCAGCGGCGGCGCACCTGGTGCCGGCACCTCCTGGCGCCAGCACTAATAGAATGCTACGAAGGTTCGGTCCAGCCGAAGATCACTAAGGCTCGATCCACCGCAGATGGGGCCATTTTCGGGCTCGACGAGCGTCTAATGCAATCCTACTGGGGCTGGATCTAGCTCTGATCGAATACGCATGGGGCTGGATCCAGCTGTCCACTATGATTGGATGCAAGTATGGGGGGATCCTCCCGCGGCTAGATCCAGCTTTAATGGAATCCTGCTACACAGGCTGGATCTTGCTCGAAAAAGATCGAACGGATTCCTGTCAAGCGCTAGTAGAATCTTACACAGGCTCGATCCAACTTTCATTGAATTCGATCACGGCTGGATCCAGCTCGCATAGCACCCTTCAAACAACTCGATCCAGCTGCTGGGGTCCTATGAGGGCTTGATCCACCTCGGATAGAATCTCATTAGGGCTAAACCCACCAGTAATAAACTCCAACTGGGGCTGGATCTAGCTTCGAAGGAATTCTTATGGAGATGGATCCAGCTCTTATCGAATCCTGCCAGGGCTGGATCCAGGTATGATGGAGTCCTTCTGCGGCTAGATCCAGCTCGAATAGAATCCTGCCACACGGGCTGGTCGGCTCTTAGGAAACTCCATCGGGTTTCGATCAAACCGAATTAGAATTCTAAACAAGCTCGAGCCAGCTCTGATGGGATCCTTTTATAGAAGGCAGAAAATCCACCCCCATAATAATCACCCCGGCAAGCCAAACCGTTTAGTAAACGAGCGCACGGAAGGAATCGAACAGGGCGGGGCTGTTTAGTAAACGCCCAGGGCCGCTCAGCAAACGACAATTGTCGGGTCTGGGTGGTTTCTCTTCCCTTGATGTTTAAGGCTTGATCCAGATCTGATTGACTCCTACTATGCTCTGACCCGGCTTTGGAAGAGTCTTACTCGGGCTGGATCCAGCTCTAAACGAATCCCAGGAAGTTTCGATCCAGCTCTAATACAATCCTACCAGGACTCGGTCCAGCTTGAATCGCATCTCACTAGGGTTCGATCGGAGTCGTTGTTTGCTGGCGGCGACGTCCTCGTCGTTGGCGCCGTCGTCTTCGTCGCATTCCTCGTCGTATTCGTCGCCTCGTCCGTCATCCGTCGCCGACGTCGTCATGTACATACTTACGAACACATAGACATACGCACACCACCTATATATACACATTTACACATATATATAGAGAGAGAGAGAACAAAAAAAAAAGAATGAGAGAGACATTTTTGGGGCAGGCGCTCCCTCGCCAATGGTCACTACGCTCAGACGTCCCTCTAAACCCCCAGTAACGTTTCCGAGGACAGGCACCGCGGCCCCAGGGACGCTGCGCCTCGTCCGAAAGCATTCGGCACGAATCGGGGGACCCCCAGCCGACCACGTCGGTGGGCCCCAAGGGCGGCCCCTGACCGCAAGCCGCCCTCTCCCGAAACGCTGGGGGGGACGCCGAGTGTAGCCCAATTTCCCACACGTTGGCCCCACGGGCCGCTCTTAAGCAACCCCCACGTAGCTCCACACTCCACCTTACTGGCTGTTAGGCCGGATCTATCGTAGTTGTGAAACCCCCTCCCGCCGACCGTTCCGCCTCACCCTGTCACCTGCGCCCTCTGTCAGGGCGATCGGGACGAGGGTTACAGGGCGGGTCGGGAGAGGACCGCCGCCTCTCGCCTGCGAGAAAACTCTGAGAGGTGGGGCGGGTGGGAAGACGGTCTCAACCTCTTGCTGCAACCTGAACCCTTTCAGGGCACCACCAACACCTGTGACCACGACGTCCCTTGCGCGCCCCCCCCACAGCTGCGCCTCGCCACGAGCGGGGGGGCCGCCCGAACGGCCCGCGACGGACCAGGGCCCCCAGGAACGACGTGGCGCACCACAGGCCAACATTGGCTTGCCCATGGGCGGGACAGGAAGGGGACCTCTGAGGCCAGACGCGCGGGAAAAAAAGGGTGGGAAGGCCACCACCTCTTCGCCTACAACCTGCACCCCGTTCAGGACTCCGCCAACACCTGCGACCACAGTGCCCCTGGGCCGAGCCCCAAGCAGCTGCGCCAAGCCGAGAGCGAGGGGCCGCCGAATCGTCACGCGGCGGCCCAGGACCCCAACAGGGACGCTGCGGCACTCCACAGGCCAACGCTGGCTTGCCCATGGGGCGCACCAGGAAGAGGACCACGAGAGGCGGGGCGGGTGAGAAGGAGGCACTGGAAACAATGCGAGGGCTTTAGCACCAGAAACGAGGTGATACTGCACCAGGGCAGGTTGGAGAAAAACCACAGGGACGGGAGCCCCTGTCGGACGAAAGTTTTCGCGCGCCACGCCGCTGGACCAGCCCGCTCGCAGTCGGCCAGCGCGCCCTTGACACGCGCACGGGCTGCGAGGCTGCTGGTCCAACGCCTGCGGGCCAAGGTGAGCTCAATCCTTAGGCCCGTTGTCGGCAGCTGCGCCAGCTGAACAGGCACTGGGGCTCGAGCCGCTCCACCAGCGCTGCGAGGGCCGCTAGAACAGGGGTGGCGGACGCATGCCGAGCCTGTCACCCTCGCCCAGACCGTGCCTGACGAACCGCAGCAGCTGGCGGGTGATCGATGTCACGATGGCGACCGCTGCTGCTGCGTTGCGCCCTGCCGCTTCCTCGGACGAGGCTGCGCGGAGGACGGCACGCTGGCTTAGCTATCCACGTCGCCCTCGCACAACGCGAAGGCCTCACCGCCGCGCAGCCGGCCCTCGAAACCAACCAACAGGAGGCACCCGACATCGACGCAGCCCGCTTTCAGCGCCAGGCTAGCCACGGCTCGCGATATCAGGCGTGAACGGGAGCACGTGCGCCGCGGGCTCCTCTTCGCGAAGTCTTCAGCACCGCCCAGCCTTAGACCCAACGGGCGCCTGAGGCGCGGGCTGGAGGAGCACGCGTCCGCCACCGCGTTGCGCGCCGCCGCGATGTCCGCGCTCGAGGCCCAGAGGTTCAGGCACCCTGAGAACGCGCGTCCTCGTCCTCCTGGCCCCCCGCCTCGACGCCGCGACCTGAGGCGTCGTAGTGCGCCAGCAGGTGGCCGAATGCAACGGAGTGCCGAAGCCTTGTCGCGGCACCCTTGCGGAGCAGGGGCAGCGACTGGGCCCGCAGGGCGCCTAGCCTCAGCCGAGCACGCGCCGCGGGCCCCCCCCCGCGGCGCGGGGACAGCAGCATGGGCGGCCTGGCCGCGACGGTCCCGAGCCACGAGCCACGCAACAATCTCCCCGTCCGTTCGTCGGCGGGGCTGTCCTCTGAAACGACGACGCAGCCGACGGCTGTGCACACGTCGGCGGCCGTCGCGACCGCAGCCCACCTGGCCAGCGCGGGCTAGAGACGGCGGCTGCTGCTCCTGCCCTTCGCCACGACCGCCGCGACCATTTGGCTGTCGACGAGGTGAATCCACCTGCTGCCATGCTGGCTCGCCCCTGCCGCGCCGCCGCTGCCGCCTGCAGCTCAGGGGCGCGCGGGCGGACGCACTTGGCAGCGGGCCACGCCATGCTGAGTGCCACGCGCCACCGCCACGCGGACGGGTCGAGGCTGGGCCGCGGCCACCTGCGCGGCCTGTAGGAAAGGCCGCAGTCCAGGCGCACGT